CCAGACTTTTGGGAACAGGTAGGGGGAAGAAAGGCCGTTAGCACACTGGTAATTCAGAAATGGATGCCTGTGTGAGGTGATCTGCCAAGGCAGGCGCTGTGACATAAAAACTAGCAGATGTAGCCAAAATTCTGTAGTGGGGTTAGTATGACAGCATTGGATTCATATTGTAGTCCCAATTTGCTACAGTACATGAGCATTTCTCTCTGCGGTGTGATAAATTTGGCTTTTCTTGCTACAGGCTGAGCTGGGGACCTGAAGTTCATAAATCACTGTAGTGTCCTTGAGGTTGCCATCTGATTAATTGCTTGCCCTCTGAGAGCCTGCATTAAGGCTGTGGCTGTCATGTGGTTCAGTACCTTTCTTGAATTTTTCATGCCTAATTTATGAGCCTACATCAGGGAGCTGTGATGTGCTTCACGCTGGTGCAGTTAGCATTTCTCTCAAATCGGTGTATGGGGTCCTCGCGTTGTTTGAGATTATGTAGTTGACATGAGGCAGTGGCAGAGGGAGCTCTGAAGGAGATGGAGGGAGCACGGCTGGCCAGCACGAACTGCAGAGTGGGCTGAATGGTGAGTACCTGGCTCCTCTGTATCAAAGCATTGTTCAAGCCACAGGCTGGGCATGATGCAGTGCAGCCTCCTTGTTTGGGGGCAGCTAATGCTTTTGAGATGGAGAATTGGTTAGCCAGCGTGTCCGTGTATGGGGTGCAAGTCTTGCATCGGATTCTGAGAGTCCAACTTTGATGTTTCCACCACATTGAAGTTAAATGGAGAAGCCTGCTGGTTTCTTGCGCTTTTTAGTTGCGTATGGTGGCACATATGGGAAACCTACCTCCTTGAGAACATCTACCATCCTGTGGTAGAGCTGCCTCTCTGCTAAAGCCATTCAAACCAGTGTATATCATGCAAGCAACTTGACATGACCTCCCTTTAGTATTTTTTAACACTGAAAAATCTTTTAACTTTGAATAGCTTTTAAGGCAAAGAAGGCCTATTATGATCAGCTATTTCTGACCTCTAGTAAGACAAGCCAAAGAAATGTCCTCAATATATAATGAACATAATCTTCTGTGCCATGTGCTTTTTGTTCAGTCCATTATGATTTTCATATCATGTCATCTTCAGAATGGTTGATCTCTGGTTATGTCTTCTTGATTTGCTTCCTCCTACAGGACTCATGGCAAAATAAACTGGTCCTCTCTGTGTGTAAGCATTCTTATAATGTCTAAATTTAAGTCTTGATTTGCGTACTGTTTGAAGTAAATTGCTGACACCTGGAAATTACAAGTTACTTAAGTATTAGGGGACGCTATCTCCCAAAAATAAAATCAAACTGTTTTATAGCAGCAATTAAATGTGATTTTATTATATAGTCTTTAATTATGTCATAGCTCTCTATCAAAAAAACAGAGAAAGAAGCAGAATACGTTGAGATGAATGAAGGAAAGAATAAAGACATAATTTGAAAAGAGATGTTGTTCAAACATGGATAAAAGTTGCTTTTGCAAGATATTTCCTTTATTATTTGGTGGCTCACATGGCCTAAGTGGTTGAAAAATTGTCCAAAATCAATTATGCCTGTTACATAAGAGTACCACACCCAGAATAACCAGTTTTAATGAATAGTGACTCACAAATCGTAGACGTTGTTTGAAGATGCAATATGTCAGGGTGGGATTCGCTTTGTCTTAGTCGGGTTCTTAAAAGTTAAGGAACTCTGAGCCAATCCATGGCTTTCCATTTTTCTTAACGATACCCAGATTCTAGGTAGGCTATAATAGTTACAGCTGAGCTTGATGCCTTGCAGTGGATGTAAGTCCATGGTGAGAGAAGTCCTTCATCTCTTTTGGAAAGCAGGGTTTAAAAGTGGAGTACTTTTGTGACATCAACAAATTCAGGGTGTTGTGCAACTTAAAAAAATGTTTCGGTTTCAAGGTATCAGTGTTAATTGTTCCTTGAGAATACCTTTTAATTACTTAATTATTAGTTATCCTTTAAAAGACAATATTAATGAAACTTAACTCGGCATTGCCGACGCTTTTATTTTAATGTCAACAAACTACGTAGTCGACAAAATCTGTGGGTCACTAGATTGGTCTGACAGCTCCATCCTGTATATCAAATCAGTGCTGATTGCCACAGGGGCTGCACAAACAACTTAGTCAAAATGCTTGCAGTGTAATGTCCTCTAATGTAGTTCTAAGAGGTCTCTAATAGTAGCATCTACAACCTTGTACTCAAGTCGAACTCTCTTGTTGTTCAAGGATGGCTTCTGTTAACCTGAGGTCATGTGCTTGAAGACTTTGTGGCAGTCAAAAATGTTCTACCCACCATTTTGGAAACTGAGGTGTTGGGGGTCTTTTTGTGGGAAAGACCACAAGATGCACCATAAAAACACGATTATGCACTGCAGCGTGGCGCTCTTGTGTTCTGCAGGGTCTATGCTGAAGTTTAACACGTCTTCAGTGGCACGTGTTCCTGATTTATTGAGAATAATTTTTGAGGAGTGATTTACATGCTGCATTTCTAGGTTTATTCTTAAAAAAACCACCCAACACAGAAACAGCATAAAAGTTGTTTGTGGATGTATAAGATAGTACAGAATTCGGATTGGCTCAACTCTAGGTGAAGGAAAAATCTCACCATCTATTGCATGCATGAGTTACTGGTAAACTGCCTATATAAAAAAAAACCACATTTGGACTGTGTAGGCCTGTAGATGTCACTGACGACTCCAGAACGAGAAGAATTTTTGGACTCTAGGAGTTGACTGGAGCTTGAAACATAACCATAAAGCTGACACCTGTCCTACAGCCCCTATTACAGTACAGTTCTACTGTATGACATGCAAACTTCAAGTTTCTAGTTTGCAGAATGAAGGGCTTAATTTATAACACATATTCCCTATTACCTAGGGAACACAACTATTTGTATTTTAACTTTTAGTGCTGTTATGGTACATTAGCTTGTTTCCTCAAAATTATCACACTGAGAAGCAAAAGGCCATATTTTATCTGAGATAAGGGGAGTTCTGAGATGCCATGTTTTTAAGTGATTCTTAAAAGCTATGTTGCCGAGATGCAACATCTACTCTTTCTTAATAACAGACTTGTTACAGAAATATTGTATAAAATGCATTTCTCCCAGGCAATCACTATCATCTTTTGTTGTTGTTAAAAGATTGTGGATTTTCTTTTCCTTCCCTCAGTTTTGAATCTTTTCTTATCTTGAGTTGGGATGCTGTTATTCTTTCTCTCTTGTTTTTTGTTAAATCCTAGGAAAAAAACTTCAATATCCCTGTTGATGACAAAAACCTTCTTTTGGGTTTAAGTTACAGCTTTTGGATTCCTGAAGGGAACCTGCAGGAAGACTGGAGAGGGACTTTTTACAAGAGTGTTCACCGATACGACAAGGGCGAATGGGTTTAAATTGAAGGAAAATAGATTTAGATTAGATCTTAGAAAGAAATTCTTCAGTACAAGGGTGGCAAGACTTTGGAATAAATTGTCCAGAGAAGTTGTGGATGCCTCTTCCCTGGAGGTGTTCAAGGCCAGGTTGGACAGAGCCTTGAGTTGCCTGATCTAGTTGAGAGGTGTCCCTGCCCATGACAGGGAGGTTGGATTAAATGATCTCTAAGGTCCCTTCCAACCTAGGCCATTCTATGATTCTATGAATTAAAAGATTGCCTACGTTAAAACTAATTACTATAGCTGTCTGGTGTTAGTATGTGTTCCTTTTGCAATTTACAGGAAAAGAAAAAAAAAAAAGAGCGCAATAACATAACAAAGCCTTAAAGAGCTACATCCTCACCTTTGCTCTTTTACCAAGCACAGCTCATTTGTTTCACTGCTAATTTCCTTAATTACTGTGGTAATCAGTAGCTTTGGTCTGGATGCACACAGGATCCCCAGCACGTTTAACTGTGTGCCTGAAGTCCTGTGCGGTAATGGGGACTGTCAGGATCCCCAAAGGGAGGCTCGTAATTAGCCAGTGATGGAACCTGGTGACCTCTAAGCTCAAATAAATACCCTTCCTGGTATTTCATGCGATACTCAACTAAGATACAACTCTCTTTTGGACTGTTTTAGGAATATCGGCTCCTTTTCTGACTTGTATGTCGGTTACTAATCTGGGTATTTAGAAGAAATCTGCTAAATTTGGTCTCTTCAAAGGGACACAGGCAAAGTAGGGATCTAGTAGGAAGAATCCAAATGAACTTAGACTTGAAGGTGCTGCTTTGATGCTCTCATTTGATCTGGAGGGAGTTAATGCCAGAATCAAATATTTTTTTTCTAACTTTTTTTTTCTTTTTTGTTTCATTCCCTGCTCTTTTCTTTTTCAAAACTTTGCTGAATACCTGTAGGTAATGATTTTGGCACTAGGTACCTTAAGCCCTTTCTAAGACATTATTCTTGTTCGTTACTTTTTGCTCTGAATATAACAAGTACTCTGAATATAAGGATCATTAGTGTAGTCCTACTGCTTGCCAAGTAATGGGAATTGATGTGCACATGCTAATACAGACTTGCTGGAGTGGATTTTTAGTCACACTGCCTTAGGTGCAAGTGGCAGAAAAAACCCCAACAACTATTAAAATTTGTGCCAGATATCATGAGTCTACATGCTGTAATACGAAGTAGGGAATAAAAGACTTGTTCTCTCTTTTGCACTTTGAAATTCTTTTTATGCTTTTCAGCATGGCTGATATTCCTTTAGAAAATTATAAGTATTCCCACAGAATTTAGCTGAAGATTGATTTACACTAGAGGAAATTATCTGAAAATGTTGGATCTGAATTTTCTGAGGCTTAAGTAACTGTTTCATAAATACTTTATTTCTTTTGAAATAAGAAAATAATAGCATGAACAAAGTGTTGAATAGAAAAACTGTTGTTGGCTTGTGGGATTTTTTTTTTTTAGTATTTCTTAAATACTCTTGCTAGTCCTGATTTTGTGTGCATGTACAATTAACTTTGAATTCTTATTTTTATAGACAGTAACTGGGAAAAGCTTTGGAACCAAAGACTTCCGAGCAGCTCTAGAAAATGGAGTTCTGCTGTGCGAGTGAGTATTGACTTTACCTTTGTAAAAAACCTTCAGGTTAACATCAGTTGCCCTCTTTCCTTGCTTGCCTCTGAATTTATATATATTTTTTTTTAAAGGACTAAAAGTATTTTGTAATAAGTATTTTTTTAATTTTTAACTGATGTTTGCTTTGGGAAGGAAGAACAGCTTTCAGACATCGTCTTTCTAGACTTACATGTTCTATATGTTGTCCCACGCACTTTTTTGTGTGTTACCAAGAGGATCATGCTTGTCCTCTGGCCAGTTGAGTGTTATAATGCTCATGGGTATCACGGGATTTTTTTTCTTCAGTTTATGGAAGGTGGTGTGGCCATGGCTGGGATGGAAGTACTTATCTACTCACTGTTGTTTGGATTTGGGCTTTTGTCCTCCATCCCCAAACTATTCCTACCGGAGAACTTTACAGTTGCAGAAATTTTCTTTTAAAAAGACTACCTTTCAGAAGCGAACTTTACAAAATTCTACATTAAAGAAAACAGACACGCATTTGATTTCATGTGTCTATTAATTACTAATACTGCTCTTACGGTTATATCCAAGTATCTGAATTAATGTAGAAGCTATTGGGTGACAGTTGGCATACTTTATAAAAACCCAAACAACAACTAAACACTTTAGGACTATAAAAGTAAAATGGATTTAATCTCAGCATAATATAGAAATATGTTGATGTGTGTCTGCACATGCAGTCCAGGTTTCAGTACCTTCTGGACTGACAGGGTTGTTGCTTTCAACAGCAAACTCTGAAATCAGCTTTTTTTTTTTTTTTGAGTGTTTTCTCTAAAGGGCTTACTTGCACTTATATATTGTAGGCTTGGCAATAATGGGACTTGTCTGGTTTCATTGCTAGACTGAGTCAGAGGTGTAAAACGTCCACTCGTCAAGTCTCTTCCACATATCTTTTCACTGATTTTGTACTTACTGGAGCAGGTTTCCACGACTGGAAGTGGTGCTAATCCCTTAGTATTTTAAAGAATGGTGTGTGTAAATGTCATTAGAACAATGCGAGAGAAATCTCATTACAGAACTACCTGGGACACTTAAAGAAAAAAATCTTGCATTTCAGAGCAGCCCTTTCAGCTACCTTTCAGAAAATATTTATAAAGGTTCAGTTCTCTGAAATTTTTTTACTGTATGTCAAAAGAAAACAAAAGCAAATTAAAAAATACAATGTTCCTGTATTTTTTTCCTTCTGTGAATTTTACTGTGTTTTCTGTCCTTGCCTTTATTTTTCTCTTTGGGCCCTTTTCCTATCCAGTCCATCTTGTTACTGGCTTCTGCAGTTATCTTTGTGATGTGGGGGAGTTGATTCATTCTGAATGATATTGTAAAGACAATGTATTTTCATTATTTATGTAATCAAATGTTTACTAGCCTGAATGTGGTAATAAAAATAGTTTATACTTTTAATAAGAAGGTATTTCTTCAGGTGTATATTTAGTGGGATACGTGTATTGTGTTCAGGTGTAAATTTTGAATAGTGTCTTTCAAAATTGGCAGTGAACAGATATTTTAATCCTCTGATATCTTCATTGTTGACACTTACTTGGCAAAAGAATAAAAACCTTCATCTGCCAAATGCAAATCAGTTAAATTTATCTGTAATTAATAGCCGTATGCAAGAAAAACATCCTGTAATTTCTTCAAGTGAGCAGCTTGCCTTAGGAGGCACACAACTTCCTTTAAAGCAAAAGATGCCTCATTATATTGCACTAAATCATATAGCTGTCCTCCTGTGTAATAATTTTAAATTTGACATATCTGAAGAAGTTTTTTTCATAGGAATTTTGTGCAAACAGCAAAGAGCAAGATGGGAAGGGTATTCAGATGCCCAGTTTTCACCAAAATCAATAGCATGCGAGATCTTAGAGACAAACTGGACATGGTATTGCCCATTTCCTTGGTTCACCTATCACATGGCTAGTTTGCTGTCCACAGATATTACCACTGGAGATGGAATATTTGACTTAAACTAGAGCAGATAAGACCTATGCTTGCACCACATGTTCCTGTAGCGGTCCAGTTGGTTTGTTTGGCCTACTTAATGACCCAGTGTGCATGTTGACGGGTTGATAGGTAGTTGACAAAATAAAGCCTTTTATGTTGTATGAGATCTCCTGTGTATACATTAGAGGGACAAAGTAACTGAAGTTTTCCTGATCACGTGCTGCTTCAAAGCAAATAAAAATTATGCATTTGGAGGATTAAAAATTAAAAAGAGAGGGGAACACAAACTTACTTAACTCTGCTTCAACAGCTAACTTATTTTTTTCTTCCTTATTTTTTCTTGTGGAAAAGTCATTGTATCCATGTTGTTTACTAAATACCTTAATGCAGTTCAAAAAAGTCTCAGAATCTGCGGCCATCATTTCTTCTTCTGCATGCACTCAGAAATCTGTCCTCCATTCCAGTACGTATAAGTGAACTCCCTTGTTTTTGTTTATTTTCCAAATCCATTTGCTGCTTAAGCAGAAGATGCCGTTTCCCATGTAAAGTTTTTAAACTCCAGGTCCTGCCTCTGCGCTGACGTGGGTAGATCACAAAACCTTGCTGATGCTTTGTTGGGTAAAGGGGTCTGGCCAGACAAGCAGCAACAAGAAGAGGGAGCGAGTCCAAAATCTTCAAAGGTATATAGGCAGATGAAGTCTACAGGGTGTCCTGAGGTCCCTGTTCTCTGTTGGTGCTGTGGTCTAGCATGTCATTTTGTGAACCACAGTATTTCCCTACCTCCTTGACTGAAAACCTGGGCATAAAGGTGTAAGGAATTCTGTGCCTCATCCTTACTGCAGCAGAAGGTATGCAGTTGGGCTTGTATATTCAGCAGTGCTGCGTTAGTCTGTCCTACCTTCTCTGTTTAATTATAAATTTTATATAAAGCAAGAGTGATGTGAGGTGTGATCTCTTCTGTCTGAGACTGAAAATGACTTGCGCGTGTACATCATATGTGCCAAAAATGATTATTGCAGGCATCGTACTGAGCTTGACAGTACTATGAAAACTGAGTTGACCTCCGAGGCTTACAGGAATATCAGTGTTTTCACACTAAACTCTGAAAATTAATATTCTAGTCTGTTTTTGACATCTTCTGCATCAGAATATTTATGTGAAGAAAATCTTGATTCTGATTAATATCACCACCCATGTAGCAAAAACACAGAGATCTCTTTCTGCCTTCTCCTACCCAGACGTTTTCTTTTCTTCTTTCTCCCTTTGCCATTCTCAGAATCCCTTTCTGTGTGTGTGTGTGTGACTTGTCCCATTTTTGCTTCTATAGTCTGTTGTTGCTTGTCATTTCTTTGAAAACTGATTTAAAAAAAAAAAATCAACTTAGTGGGTCTTAATCGGTTCAAATATACTTGGTTTGAGACATGTAAGTTAGGACTATATGCAAAGTATTTCTTAATAATCATCTAAGGTCGTTTTAGTAAAATTCATTATGTAACAGAAAACCATATGACTTCTTTTTAGTTTGATTAACAAGATCAAACCTGGCATCATTAAGAAGATCAATCGTCTGTCAACTCCAATAGCTGGCTTGGTAAGTAATGACATCAAATCTAATATCTGGAGTATGATGCCAAATTCTATTTGTTTTTAATGTCTGTTCTCTTGCCTATTGTTCTTACGTGGTCTTGCTACAAAAATCCACTAAGTTTTCAAAACTGTACCTGCATTTCCCTTTTTTTAAAAAAAAATAAAATTGTACCACTGGCCCCTGTACATAAACCTATGCAGTGTTACTTGTCCTTATTTAAAGGCGACCATCCAGTTTTATATTCACAAGCTATTTCAGATATCCCTTTATTAGAGAATGGGCAGACTTGGGAGTATTCAGTGTAACTGGAATATTTTTAGAATCTGCTTCTCCCCACCCACAGCAGAGCTTAGGTTGCATTAAAATAACTGATGATGCAAAGATCTCTCTTCAGGCTTCAGCTGAGAGATTTGCCAATGTTTTGGCTGTAAAGCACATTGTCAGGGGGAAAAGGGGGAGGATACATGTATCTTTTTCACAGGAAATTCAAAAGATTTCCTGTATGCTGTCTGAAAATTTGCTGGTCAGGGACTGTGGGATGAATTTTGTAGCCATTTAGCATCAGAAACCGTTTTGTGGGTAAAATAATTTAAATAACTTTTTCTTCATAATTTTTTCCTATGAAAGCCTTGTTGGCTATTCATGTCTCTAGGGTGCCTAGGTATGTCACCAGAATATCAATCTCATCTTTAAAAGACCCAAGGTGAACAGGGACATGTACGTGATGCCTGTAACACGTGAAAGATCCCACTTTATAGTAAACAGGCAATCTCCACATGAGGGGAGGTTACCTGATTTCTTAACAGGAGTAGAATGCAAAACATTATGTGTATTTATATGTTTTAATGGGATGAGCCAACAAAACATCTACTTTTGCTGGTCAGCTGTGTATCTCATTAGAGAAGAAGCGTACTTAACTTGGCCAGAGGTCGTAAGATTGGGTTAACTTACCATATATTACTGCACAAGCTGAGAACATGCATTTTCACATCAAGTGCATGTAGAAAGTATTAGTTGCCTTTGTCCCAGAAGAGCTCAGGATATGAGGCTTGTGAATAACAAATGCTGCACATTCTTTTCCCATGAGGCATCCAAAAAAAGAGAGAATTAAAATGAAACCAAAATCATTCTGGTGAGAACAGTACAGTTATTCTATCAGCAGTTTTATAGCCTAAGTGGTCTCTGAAGTAGCTGATCGATCCAAACTAGAAAACCATAGGCTAGATTTAAGTTTAGTGTTCTCTTGAATCATAAGTGAAAGAAAATTCATTTTTAAATGCATTGTTTTTGCTTATTTTTCAACTGAATTTGGAGTATTCATTAGGCATGTAGTTTCTTGTAGTGTATTATTTTTCCTTCAAGTTGTTTCTAGTTCCTATAGGTCTTCAAATATAAAGGCGGAGAAAGAGAAATGAGTCTCATAAACCAAGATCATCCAGTGGTATTGTTGTTAAAATATCACTTGGAGTTATTGAGAGAGTAGTTATTGAGAGAGCTGAAGTTTGATGTTAACCAATGGGAAAGGTTTTATATCAGTACTTCAGTTTCAGATGATGATGAGGGCCATAATGGGAGTGTTTCGGAAGGTGATGCTTCCAGTGGCAGTAGGTATTTTCCCAGACATGAGAGGAATGCTGAGCTTTGAAGAGCTCAGCTTTCATCGCAGCACGTAAAACTCAAATAAAAACCACGTTTTTTTGCGTTTATAGAGAAGCAAGCATTGGTACCTGACAGGCTTAGGATACTGTGGCTGATAGAAAAAGCTTGCTAACAAATTACCTGGTAAGCTTGCTTGCCGCGTTCTGAAAATATTTTCACTGTTTGTTACTTGCTTCTGCAAATCTGCTTCTGGATGGTGTTTTGTGTGGCTTTGTAGAGGTGCAGCTGTCGCTTTTGCTATTTTCAGTCTTTCAGTCTTGCATTAATTGCTCCACATCAAGTCTTTATGAGTTTCAGAAATTACTGTTGTCAGGGAGACTTTACTGCTGTAGTTTTTGTTTGTTTGTTTTTTGAATCAGGTAGACATTTTAACTTCAAGAGATGGCTTTTTATTTTTTGCCCTTTTTTTTTTTTTTCCTGAAGGATAAGCAAATGCCTCAACCTGAAGTCCAGTCTTGCAAATCCTGTAATGTGAAGATCTTTTGGTCATGTTCTTTCTACAGCTCCTCTTCATGGTCTCTATACTTAAAGTCCATTTCCAGAACATATTATGTATTCATCATTGGGCAACTAGCATCTGTTTATCTCCTGACTTTTCTGACTAAAAGGAAATGAAACTCCTATATTCTTAAGTTTTGTTGCAGTCTGATTATGAGAAGATGACAAATGCTTTAAGGAACATCTTGGTTTTGTTTTTGTTTTTTTTTTTACTTCCACTCCAGGAATTTGTTCAGACTTGGTTTTGTTCTCTAGCGAGTTCATACATTTGACTTCTTAAGAATTTATAAGCTTTGTGTTCACTTCAAATACTTGGCAGGATTTTTTTCAGCAGTACAGAAATACAGTGCTCAACAGGCACCTGCAGTTGACTCTCCAGAAGGGTTTCATTATAGTGTTTCTTTGACTTTGTGGCTGTTTTGAAAACAAATTTCTTGAGTAAAATAGGAAGTGAAAGCCTATATGAATAATGAAATACTGTATTTTATATGGAGCAGGCACCTGCAGTTGACTCTCCAGAAGGGTTTCATTATAGTGTTTCTTTGACTTTGTGGCTGTTTTGAAAACAAATTTCTTGAGTAAAATAGGAAGTGAAAGCCTATAAAATACAGTATTTCATTATTCATATATGGAGTATTGTGTGCTGTGCTTTTTTGTACTGAGTTAGGGTAAAGTGTTCTGTTTGCTGTTTTTGAGGGTGTTTTTTAACAAAGTAAATGCATTATTCATTTGTTATGTTATATTTACTTTTGTGACACGTTTAATTATAACATCTGATGAGGCTTTACATCAGCCAGGTCACCTAAATTCCAAGCACAACTGAAAATAAGCCTTAGCTTTCACCTTCAGTTTTGATTATAGTGCTGTCTAGCAATTTTGGATGTTGATTGCAATGATTTAGGTGTAATTATGGCAGAATGGATAAATAAATATATTTTTTTCATCAGTTTGATACTGAAATGATACTCGGCATACCATTAAAGAAAAAATGGTGAACTGGTACTGGACAAACTTTTAAGTGTTTGAACTTATCCATGGAAGGCTGGGCTGCAGCTCGTGTGGAAGGGTTTGTTAAAACTCTTTGGGAGGGAGAGCTGGACCAGGCCATAACTTGATTTCCATCTAGCAGCTCACTGCTGCAGCCATGCTGCCCTCTTTCTCTTCAGAGGCATATACCTCATCGTTTGGGTAAGATCTAGCCGTCGTCTTAGCCATGTTTATGGCACAGAGTAGCAGTTCCTGAAGTCCTCTGGCATTTCTGGGGGATGTGGGTAAGGGTAACCAAAAGGTCAGAGGACTGTAGAAGCCAGGGTTTCATTATGCATGGTAGTGAGAAGGCAGTTTGCCTTAAAAATCCACTTTTTCTGGTTCATACTTATGTGAAACAGAGATGGGATTTAAAGAAAATGACTCAAACTGATAAATCTTGCTGGATTTGGATCTTGCAAAATTATTTTGCTTAGAGTTTGGGCCGTGTATAGGGAGAGGGCAGAAATAAAATGAATGCATAGTAAAAGCAAACCCAAAGAAAACCTGATTCTTCATACATATGTGCTTTTCAGCTTGAATCCCACCTTGTGAGATGGTTTGTATATAATCACACAAGGGTGAGGACTTAGTGGTCTGACAAAGTACTTTCCAGCAAGGCTCCAGGGAACGTTTTGAGACACGTCTGGCTGCAGCACTGTTGTTCCCCAGAAACCTCACATTTCCAATTCGGTTGGCTGAATATTGAGAGAATCATGAGCCAGGATGGAAGTCATAAGACATCATGAGGCTGTGGGAAGATGAATGAGTTTTGTGTAGTAAATGCAAGCTCGATGTCGCTGTCAGAATGATACATTGCTCATGATAAATGATGGTATGCTCTGTAGCAAGGTGAAATTTTAGTTTCCAGCTGAGACCAGGTGATGAAGCAAATTCAGAGTTAGAGTCAGTATCTCCTTTGAAGAGTGGTAGCTAACGGGAACCTTGCCTTGCAACGAAACGATTTCGCTGTTCAACACCATCATCCATCTTTCCTTGCAGCTCCTGTGAGTCAGATGGAAGTGCAGCGCTTTGCTCTGTGGTTGGGAAATGTTTCGGCACATCAGAGGGGCGAGGGCTGTGGTGAAACCACAGGGCAGAGTAGAAAGCTAATGGGTTCTTAGAACTGTAAATGAAATGCCATTAGCACTTTTGTTTGTTTGTTTTGAAGTTGGTCTTTATTTCAAATGAGTAGCGAAGTTGCTAACTTTGACTTTCTGTGTGAGTGCTGGATGAATGTTGGTACCAAATGTCATCTTCATTAAGTTCCTCAGCTTTGACAAAGGGGTTTTTGTTAACTTGTGTTTCCTTTTCACACAAGGAAATAGCCCTGCAAATCTCTAGGCAGTCCCAGGTTTGAACATGTGCATGTGAAATATTGTAGGGTGGAATTGTTTTTGTTCTAGGGGGGAATTGGGTTTCCTTCAGGGTGAAGAATGTCTTGATAGTTTTCCAGGCAGGATTTCTTAAACGCTTATTTTCCTGGTTCATCAAAGCCCAACATGCCATTCTGACAAGTGCTACTCAAGCATCGTTCCCACTCTTTAAAGCAATTTGATATAAGATCACTACATTATATAATTTACTTATTTAATGTATCAGAAGGTATTAATTCCACTTGCATTAAGATAACCACCTCAAATAATGAGAGAGAGCCACTTTGTTATGGGGATCATGGGCATGTACCTACTAAACCAGGAAAGTAGAGAATAATAAAGGTAAGAAGGGAGAAAGAGGAAAGAAATCTATACCAAAATGAAAGGGGAGATAAAGACAGGAGTGGAGGAGGTAAAAATGCTGCCATTAAAAAATATTTTTCT